TAAATCCTATCTAAACGAGTTTCATCTACTTGATCTGTTTAAAGCGAAACTCTTAAGTTTCGAACTCTAATTGATTTCAAGCTTTTAAATGATAGTGTATCGCAAATTTGGACTCCAACCAAGAAGTTACACCTGAACGTGATTTTTGACAAGCACTAAATCTTTGGTGAGTGCTTCCAAATATATGATTGAACTTGATACTTGATTAAATTTTTTACCAACATGATCGGATAAGATTTGATTGGTTTGGTCGGGTAAGTGCGTACTTTATCGCACTTGACCTAACTTAACTAATCATTTGATATCTCATTTATGCTTGTACAAGTAGCTTGATTTGCATTGACTTGTACTTATATTTGTATTTGTGCTTGATTTGTAAGTTTTGAACGACAGTATGTACCACACTCGATACGAGTGGGAGGTACCTCTCATTCCTGTTTTTGTACTTTTCTCTTAACTAAGTCGATTGGTCATTGACTATAGTGACTACTTGGGAACCCAAACTCTACTGGCTAGTTAATCGAGTCAAGCCATTAAGGGATTGGTCGATTAGATAACGGACCATAGGTATCTAGTGTTATCGAGTGGAGTGTTATTTTTTCGACTAATCAGTATACTTAAGTATTACCACCAGTGTTTAGTTGGTGTTCGGGTCCGGTAAGGGGGTTGAATGGTGGACGGATTGGTGTTAAACAAAGTACTACTGAATTGGTTAATTTACTTGAAGGTTGACGGAGTGTTAACTAATACTTGATCAAGTTCTGGTGAAGCAAAATTGGCTCCTGAGAGCCATTTGTATCCTTATATTTTGATTGTTATTCGTAATGTTCTTGTTTCTTTTAGAAAAGCATTTTACACTCGCTCATTTTGAAATTTGCTACTTGAAGTGTTATTGCTCACTTTTATAGACTGGTTATGGTCGCTACTTTGCTACTTTGATACGTGAACTTTTAAATAATGGTCAACTTGCTATTTGAAATCTCACTAGACTTTTAACTCATTCCACGCCATTTTTTTCCTCACAGGGGATACAATCGAGGCGAGACTGGTACAGGATAGCGTAGTCTAGTTTTTAAAAATTTTGCGATTGTACTCGCACTAGTCACTCAATTAGGGTTGAATGTATTGAGAACTTAAATCTTGTGATATATTTGGGATTAAATGGATGTTTGAGATAGAAATGAATATATTTATACATTTCAAGTTTGGGAACTGTTATTTTCTTTACTCTTGAGATTGTAACTTATTTTGTTTGAAGTGTGTGAGTGAGTTCTGACGAAAGTTGGGCAGGCGGTTCGCTAAACCTTGGGGTACGCCCTAGGGAGAGGTGGGGTCGTCACAAGGACTAATATTCATGTGGCCAAATTCAAGAATTTATTCTTTTTAAAGGTCTAAATTCACATTTTTTTGGATAATTGCAAAAACCTCCCTTGAAATTTTTAATAGTTGCACTCACCTCTTTTGAGGTTTCGAAAATAGCACTAACCTTCTCTGAACTTAAGGTTTTGATTGCATATTCAATCCATGTTAGAGAAAGTGCCATTAAAAAAGTCTTTTGAGAAAAAAGATAATAATTTTGTTCCATTTGTACCATTTTAAAATGTTGTAAGGTTGAATTAGTAAAAGAATGAATACAATCAAATTTTGGAAACAATTAGTGAAACTCATATCAATGCAAAGAGAACAAGTGCAACAATAACAACTAGAAAAAACAATGAATATATGTTCAGAAATCTAAGGTTCTAAAGCATATGATGTGTACAACTAACTTCAAAAACTCTCATTTACTAGTGAGCATAGAAACTCTGTGTATTAAGTTGAGACTACAAAGGATTGCTTAACTATTATCTTCTAGTTGTCGTAAATTTTTAACAGAAAAATTCTCAAAAATTGCCTTGATTTTTGCTTTCTTTCTTCTTCCATTTCGTGCATGCCTACGATGAAGTGAACTCAACCAAAACTACCATAACATATTTTCTTATAGAGCCTGTGACAGCTCCACCTTCCCCTAAGGCGTACTCTAAGGATTAGTGGACCGTCTGCCCAACTCTCATCAGGACTACTAAGTCGAAACACACGTAAACCCTACAAAACATGCAAAAGATATTCGAGAAAATGAACTGCCGAAAACTAAATTAGCTAAACTAAACGATGCAATAGAACTTCGATTAAACGCTCCAACGAAGAACTAAAAGAACAAATGCCACATCAAACCATAGAAACAAGAAACGTATACAACGAATACAAGAAACGTTCACCAAACCATAGAAACGTAACATCTCAAACAAATACACTGAATATACAGGGTTAAACACTTATATATATACATTAGAAGGTTCAACAGTTTAATTAGCAATACAAGTCAGAATATCCACAATTTATCAAAGTACAATTAGGGTTTGCCAGTGCAGAGAAACTTAATCAAAAGTATGGCAATAACTAACTCTACTCTTTTCTCCAAAATCATAGTTTCAAAGTTTGTTTCCTGTAAAAAAAACAAAGGTAACGGGGGTGAATTTATACTCAATGAAGTACCAAAAGTACAAGCAGTCAAGAATCATGGAACTTCACTTTAGTCAATCATATAGAAACACCAGATATAAAGATTAACAAACGTCTAAGTTAAACATAGTAATTCAAAATAGAAAGGATACAGGTGACTCTCAAGAGTCGAATTCCCGTTGTTTCACCAGAGTTTGATCAAATAGTAGCTGACACTCCGTCAACTTTCAAATAAAGTAACCAATCTAGTAGAGCACCACTTTACACCAAATTTCGTCCATCAAACTTACCCTTTACCGGGCCTGAATGTCTCAACAAGAACAAAGGTGGTAATACTCGAGTATACCAGAAATCCAGAGTCTCCAATACTCAAAGATTTCCCAGATACAGTCCCCATGGTTTGTCAATTTTCCTCGACCAAGCCCCTTGTGGCTCAATTCAATTAACTACCAATGAGATTGATATCAGATTCAACAGGAAGGTCGTTGGATACAAGCCTCCAAATGACATCATATTAGGCACAAGTAACACATTCCAGTTTATACAGTAAACCAGTCACACAGGCCAGAGAACAAGTGTGATAAAGTACACCTTCATCTCGTACAGAATAAACAGATGGTACAGTCATTCAAGTCACAAATTGTAGGTACAAGTAAATCAATTAAGCAATAAGTCATGTGAGTGGTACACTCACCAGTTCAAACAAAGATAATTTCAAAAGTTTTCTTTCAAAATATGCCTTTGATCACCGACACGTCCTAAGAATAACCAAGATAAAACAATTATGGTTCTCACATCCACAAATTCGGTAAACGAAATGCACAAATAAGGTTCGACTACTAGTCGTATGCCTATCCATGTTAATTACTAGTGCAAGGATACAAAAATGTGGTTTTGGAGTGAAAAGGTAGCGGTTGGTTCTAAAGACATGAACAACCCCAAAACCCTTCATTTCTACCAAAATTAATCCAAATTCAAAGGAACCAAACGGCCTAACCAATTGGACAGCACCTCCCCTTAATTTCTCTACTTTTCTACCCTAACATCAATGCCTAATTACATCTCAATTCAGTCACAATTGCACATACAAATCACAAGTTATTAAACACCCTTAATTAGGGCCACAATACCCTTCATATATAGCCAATTAGTAGCTCCAAAAACTAACTACAATCAAGCCAAAATTGGAAACCCTAAGCTGAAATTTATGCACCCAAGTTGAAAATTTCTTTAGGCAAGTTAAACTAGCCTATAAAACTTCAATAATTCATATAGAAACATGGACAACCCTCAAGCATCACACATGAGCAGAATTTTCACCATAAAACTGAAAATTACCATAATACTATTTCAAACCATGAAATTTCTCATAAAGTTATCAAAACTACGACCTTAAGCCACTAATTCACACATATATGAAGGAAAATGAAGTTTCTTGCCAAAGTACCTTGTAATCTCAAGAAAGATGGAAACTTAGGGATTCTTTCTCCAAAATCACTCCACCAACACCTCTACTCTTCCTTGGTTAGCACTTTTTATGGAGTAGTTTACAAATTGGTTGGTTAAAACTCAAGATTCAAGCACAAAGTTGAGGTTGAAATTGAAGGTTTCTCTTATTTTTTCCCTCTCCAAGGATCAGCCAAAGCAAGTGCAAAGTGAAGCAATTTTTGGTCAAATTTTGTATTTAGTAAAGGTACGAAGGTCTTGGTCAAAGTCCAACATCCATTGACTTCGCGACAAATGGCGCACTAGGGTTTAATCTCATCCTCTTGTCTTCCAATGGTTAATCTATCTAGTTAACCTCTAATTATCTCCTAGCACATTGTAAAATAATATCCCTTTATACAAAATTTTAACTAATCGTCAAAATTTTATCGCACTAACCGCACTAGCGGGTCCCACGTCCATAATATGTTTCAAACTTAATATGAACTAATTTAAACCAGAAAAATGATTTAAAACTATACTCATTTATAAAAATCTCTGAAAAATTAATATAATAAAGTAAAGTAAAGAAAATATAGGTGAAAAAAATATAAAATAATATAAAATAAGGAAATTTTGCGGGTCCTCACAGCCTTGCTCAGAGATTCTTTCCCTTTGCTTCTGCTTCTTTTTTTATGCAGATAATATACGACTTGGATTGTCCTTTCAAGTGTTGTTAATCACAAAATGATGCCATGTTGAAGCATCAATTAGCGCTATTTTGTGATGCCATTTTGTAAGTGCACTTACAGTACCTAATCAGGTAAAAAATAACCATTAACTTGTTTAATTAGTTATCTTAAACTTGTTTATTGTCCTAATTTTTTTTGCTCCAAATTGGTTTACTAACAACCTTAAACTCTTAGGATATGGAAGTAAAATCATCCTCTTTTATGTCAACTGTAGGCCCAAATTCATGTAAGGGGAGGTAGGTGCTATTTTAGAAACATCAAGGGAGGTGAGTGCAACTGTTAGAAACCTCAGGGAGGTTTCTACAATTATCCCTTTTTGTTTTTTTTTTTTTTTTTTTTGCAGATTTTCTGCTGGGATTTCCTTTCATTTTCGGCGGTTCCAAACCAGGAGAAGCATCGAAGAAGAGGGATCCTCTCTTCTCATCTGTGCTTTTGCAGCCAAGCCGGTGGGGATAAAAAATCATGTCGCGGGAGAGAGCTAAGCGGTCGACCCTACCTCCTGCTAAAGAGGTAATAGGAATACTAACCAGCGTACAGTGATTCTGATGATTGATTTCCCTTTCTTCAACTTTCAAGTGTTATTGCTTTATTTTGTTTTACCACTCGCACATCTGGATATTTGAATGCTTAGTTAATCGCCTGCCCCTTTTCTTCTTTTGTACATTATACTAGTTACCGTTCTTTTTTCGGGCAATTGAATTATATAGATGAACGACCTAAACATCTAATTTTATGTATGTCGGACCTGCATATGTATCTATTGTTGTGAAACTGAAAGCTGGCCTTTAGCCTTGGCTACTTTTTGCTGACAATAATTTGTTTATCAAGTCAAGCAAACTCCAAATTATTTAAGTCTAGTCTCAGTTCAACTCACTTATGAGATTGGTTCTCATCTCACGCGTCCCCTCGCTGCAGAATATTGCCAAGCTTGAGAAAGTAGTAAAAGAAGGCAATTACTATGGAGCGCAACAGATGTACAAGTCATTTAGTGCTAGGTATTGCAACTCTCTTTGTAGCCAACAGTTCTTATGAAGGTTGTTCACCTTTTAGTTCAGTTGCTCTGTTCAATTGCCTGCTTGATTCAGTTGCTCGGGTTTGTTGCAGGTATGTGACCGCTGAAAGATATTCTGAAGCTCTAGATATTCTTGATTCTGGTGCTTGTCTACAATTGGAAACGGGACAGGTCATACTCTATGCTTCTTTTGACTCCCCCCCCCCCTTCCTTAAACTGGGAACAACTTGGTACATACCATGTTCAGTCAAATTTATATCAGCTTTGGTTGGGGCAGTCTAGTTTCTTCATCTACTGGATTGCTGAAATATTACCTTTCCCAAACCCCCTCCTCTTTCTGCATTCTGGACTGTGGCAAACACAAGTACGTTGATGTCATAGGATTTTCCATGGTTTTTTTAGCAGAAGGTTGAACCCTGCGACAATTTCTTGACAAAAAGTATATCACGGTATCATCTCAAAGCTTCCTCCTTTAAGTGCATTGATGTTTTTCTCATATTTAGGTTACTTGCGGGGCTGAGCTTGCCATGCTATTCGTGGACACACTTGTCAAAGGAAAATATGCTTATGATGACGATACTCTCGGTTAGTTCTTTTCTATATGATATGCATTATAGTTCTTCCTTGGGGCTGGTTGCGGGGAAGGTTGGAAGGTAAGTTGGTTGTTCCATTTATGAACTTCCCAAAACCCACTTAGCCAGTAACCACTTTTGATCCCACTGCTGTTTAAATGCTGTTATGCTTCATTTCCTGTGATTGGCGTTTTTTGGTGGTGCCAAAGAACAAAGACGCTATGTGGGTTCTGATTTTTCTGTTAATCTAAAATTTTCTGGCAAAATTGACTATTAGACCAGTATTTGGAATAAGAGGTATTTGTATTTTAGATACTCCTGGAAAAGGTTATTTTGGAAAAGTGCCAGTTAAGATTGCTTGTCAGAAAGGTTCTTCCCAGCTTTTATTGAGCTAGAAGAAGTGGAAAAAAGGAATTCATATTTGCGTTTGCTAGTTATAGATTCTTTGCAAGTTGAAGCCAAACCCTTAAAACTAGTATTTGATTTGATTTGGGAATTCTTGGATATGGAACTGAGTTAGCCATGTAAAATCGGGTTTTCTGAGGGAACGCATGCTTTTGCTTGAAAGTAGTCTTGCATGTTCTCAAATGTTTAGTGCTCCAGAAATCATTGTCAAATCATTAATGTCCTTCTGTGCAAGGAATGGCTTCAAACAATATGGTGTACTTGAGGATTGTATCTGAAATTTCTAAAGTTAGCTTTGCTTGGAGGATAACTGCACTAGGAACCTTCTCATTTGGAACCTTTAGGATTTTCTAGAGCACAAACAAAAGATTGCCATTGGGAAATTTCCTTCTAGGATTTAATACTTTTTCAGGGTTTTACCTGCTAGAAGTTCTCGTTAAAAAACCTATGATTTCAGAATTATGCGCGCCCTGGCTTTTCAAACCCTGGAGTATATGAATGTGTAATGATACAACACAAACTATATTTGATTCTATTTTGGTATGCCTTGTTGGTTTGCTGTTTATCTGTTATTTTTTCCTCTCTTAACTTCCTCTGCAACTCTGTCCAAGAATTCACAGATAAATTGGATTTCTGGCCAAAAGTTGAAAGTCTAATATTCTGGTCATGTTTGGATTTTTTCTTATAGAGCTTCTGATTTGGTAGATATAATGTTTTGGTCCTTTTGTTTAATGGTCTTGACAAGCTTTAATCTTAGATCGTGTCAGAAAAATCTACAAGAAGTTCCCTCGGATATCTGTGCCGCAACATCTTGACCTGACAGATGATGATGACATGCAGCAACTCTCTGAAGCCTTTGCTGCTGCAAAAGTTAGAGTCGAGGGCTGCTCATCATTTTTAAGAGCTGCTATTAAGTAAGCTTTTATGCTGTCTCTTTGAGATAATACTATATGGTCAGATAGTGCACTTGCATATTCAGCAAATTGTGCTTTGGGGTCATTAATTCTGCATGATTGTTTTGATGTGTTATCATGTCTCGACATCCTTTTTATTTTTGTTGTTACAGTTTTTCCAATGTACAAGTGTGTGGTTGTGGTAAGAACCCTATCTTATAGCACTAATTAGAGAATTGGAGGTATGTAATTGAAATTTAAGGTAGACGAGCAGTTGTGTTATTGAATTTGAGGTGATTTTTCATTTCCTGCCAGCAGGCTTCAATTCTGCAAAGTTATGGGCCTTGAAATCTCCATGCCTGATATCTATCAAGGGAAAAAAAATTTTAAAAAAAAGATTGCAACGTTGACTTCCAGTTGTAGCTTGCAATTGTGTTTGTGTAGAAAATTTTCTATTCTACATAATATAACTGGTCTATTGGCAGAAATGGTTATTTTTGCAAATGGCCCTAAGTGAACTACTAATCCCTTTGAAACTTAGTCAAACAGATTCAAGAACTCCCTGGTTCCCTTCCCTTATATTAGCAGAATATAGAGCTGGAGCCCCCTTTTTGGGGAGGTTATTGATTCGCTCCTGTGTATTTAGAAATTACAGACTTTGGGCATATGGTTGTCTTTGTAAAAGTGTACGTTATGATCTCAAAATTATAAGCATATTGATCATTTGAGCAGTTCCCTCCTCTGGCAGGAAAAATTGTTGTTGACAAACCATTTTAAGGCCATTGTTTAAGTAGTGACTAGAGCCACTTTTCTATACAGCGCTAGCACCCTTCATCCTTTTTTGATGTTTCAAACTTTAACAGAACCCTTCCTCTTCTTCTTCTTTCTTCCTTCTTCTCTATCTTCAATAGAATCCACAGAATAGGCCTGTTCAGAGTTGTTTGTTGCATGTCATCCCAGATTGTTTTTCATCTTTCTTTTCAGAATCCCAGTTTTTTGATAATTGGCCCTAAATAAGAGACAGAACTCCATGTTTATTTTTTATTGTTCTTCTATTACATTGATATTTCACAACCATAAGCTTTTAAAAGGAAATGATAGACTATAAATATTAGAATAGTTTTTACATGAAAGTAGAATATAGAAATGGGACAGACCAAATTAGTGACTTTCTACATGATATTACGTAACACCGGATGTGGTCTCCACAAGATACAACTTTGATGAGAGAGCAACTGAAATAAAAAAAAAAAAACTTTCTCTTTTGTTGATGTTTGAGAAGAAAAAAGGAGGGAAAAAAAAGGAGCCGGAGTGCTGGGTCGAAGACTGTATGTGTCGTCAAGCCTGTATGGAAAGTGTGTTTGACTCTACCATCATCTTGGTTGCTAGGTTGCATGCCGTATTTCCAAGGAGACTTGCTAAACCCTGCACTTCCAGTGGCCCTGATCCTTCAAGTCCTGTTTGGATGTTAAAAATTTTATTTCCTGCTTAATTTTTTGAGCTAAGCAAGAAAGCATTCACTTACCACAACACTAAATTATCGATCTCGTATTCCGTCTACCTAATATTCTCAAAATTTGTTGTAATAATGGACTTGAATTTTTTGTAAGTTGGATTTTCTTCTCTTTTGTTCATCAAATATGGCATTTCTTCCCTTTAAAAGATAAAAGCAGAATTCTGAGAAAACTTAGTTGAATTTTTAAGCCTGTGAAGTTTGTATGTACCATTTTCTACTTTACCTGGGCTTATAAATTGCATAAAACAAAACAATACTAATTGATGTTTGAAATCACAAAAGTACAGTTAGTTTTGAGTATGTCAAAGGGTTTGTAAACTAAAATTGGCTATTCTTAAGGTTTGGAAAGGCTGGATGTTATAAATTAGGAAAATTTGTGATCAAGTTTCCATTAGGTTGGTGCGCATTGGTGTATGGAATTCAATAATTTGGTCATTTACTTTCTATGGAATTTAATAATTTGGTTATTTAATTTCCATTTATACCATTTCTAAAGCATTTTTTTAGGGAAGGCCTCAAAGTCTATTATAACTAGTTTTAGTTTATGTGCCTAGTCTGTCTTTCTGAGTTTTACTACCTTATGCAGAGTCCTGATGGGCTATTACTGTGTACAGATTTTAACCAAGAACCAAGTGAGTGGAATTATTTTGCGTTTATACTTCCAGGAAAATGGTTTTGTTTTGTGGCCATTGTTCTCGTTGGTTTGTAAGAATTAAGGCTTTGCATAAATAAAGGAAAGCTGTTCAGATAAGTGTTTCTCAAGAAAGTGAGGTAAACACAGGTTTTGGGTGGGGGCAAAGGCTCTTTCATGTACTGTGTAAACTAGAAGAACTGGAAAGAAAGTAGGTAGTTATTGGACAGTTCTTTGAATTATTTCAGAAATTAAAATTTACTGAGAAGTCCTCAAAAAATGTGCATGACATTAAATACGGGAAGAACTTTCCTGCTGGGAAGTCTTCCTATTAGCTGACTGACATTTGAAAATTCAATAAGGTTTCTGATCAATATTGTGTTAGTAAAATTCACATATTTCATTTGAGATTGATGTTACTGAGTGATCCTATGGAGTTCCTTAAAGAGTTTAAGTACAAAAAGATTTGCAGTATTTCATTCTTGGGTCCAACTCCTAGGGTTTAATGTGTGCTCAATTTTTCTTGTTTAACTGGTCAGAAAAAAAGATGACTGATATTATCTTGACAAAAGATTATATGGTCTAAACCTTGTATTGTGCCAAGTTTCTTCTATTTGTTTACAAATTGTGTTCCTTAAGTTATGTGTAAGCAGCTGCTTGTATTCGTCCTCCCCCAATTTGTTTTTGTATTTGGGTGTCTAGGACTGAACTGGACCATATGCAAGTTCATGATTTTATAGTTGATCTGTAACATTGATACTTTCTTGCTAGGTGGTCTGTGGAATTTGGAGCATGTAGGAATGGATCCCCAGAAATTCACGATATGCTAGCTGAATATATATATTCTGAATCTCCTGAAGTGGTATGTCTCTTGGTTCTTGCTGTTTTGCTCTTTCAATGAATTTGCTTCGCATAAATGAGGAACAATGCTGATTCTTTTTGGAGCATGGTCAAGTTGGTTATTCATGAGTGATGCAACTTTGTCAGTCTGATGGTCTGTGTCAGTAAGTTATTTTGTGGGTTTTCTATGAAAACTGTGTCAGAGTGATGCTTAGCAATGTTTGAACTGGTTTTGTCATTCAATAGATTAGAGATTATTTTGCTACTATGGTGGGTTATCCCTTCATGCTTTTTCTTACCGTTTTAGAGTATGATTATTCTGGTTGTAGACTTCTTGTAAGCGGTGAGATGCTCGTGAAAACCAATTTAAGAACCCAAACGTGCATCTGACACTGATTTTCCTTGCATTCTTGACTTTGTTATTCCTGATTTTCTTTGTGGAAGAATATGTTAAGCTTAAATAATTTCCCTAGTTCTAGCGGTAGATAGTGTAATGTTTTTCTTTACTTGGTCTTCCAACTTGGGTAGTTCCAAAACTTAGAAGAGTCTATTGCAACTTTGTTGTGTAGTTTGGTGTATCAAACAGACACATTTACATGGCAGTACTTCCAAAATCAAGGGTTTCAGGAAAATTAGTTGTGCTTGTCTCATCATCGCATTCATAATATTGTTTCTTTGCAGGACATGACCAAAGTGTCTTTTCATTTTGTTCGAGGGAAGAACCCTAAAAAGTTTGCTTCAACACTGGTGAATTTCATGGGCAAGGTTGGCCATCACACTTTTTACACAAATTGTTGATGGGATCTTAAATGTACTATAATACCAAAACTCATTCACATCATGGTAGAATACATAAGGTCTTTTTGGAAGTTAAAATAAATTGTGTTTTTTCTGATATGTTATCTTTGTTAGAGGAGGCCCAAATGATATTTGTACTATTGTATTATGCAGTAACCATCTGAATCATTATTTGCTCTTGGAAAATAATGCATTTTCCTTGTTGGTCAACAATGGCTATTGCTTAGATTTATTTCTTCTCATTTCATGCATCATGACTGCCATAGGCGTCTCTTTATTTCTGCCTTACCTGCAAATGTTTTTGAGTCATACTAGCATCCTTTTGATGGACTTGGATTGCATATAATTCATAGTATTCATGCAGTGTTACCCAGGTGAAGATGATTTGGCCATTGCAAGGGCAATTTTGATGTAAGTGCAGTTCTTGTTTGATGTATTGTAAAAAAGCTTGCTTGGTATTTGATTGGATACCTTTATCTTTTTTCCTTGTTTCTTTTGTGACAACTTAAGACTTTATTACATAATAGCCCATTCTCATGCATGGAAATGTCTGCCTCTTCATAACCACTACATCTCTGTAGGATTCTTTGCACAAAACTCAGATTTTGCCAAAATCAACATGTTAAAAATCAGCATTTCATTTCTTCTGTTGCTTAACTTTTATTAGCTCTTATTTCCCTAAACGTGATTTTTTTGGTGCCCTTGCTGTTATATGTTTTTGTTTCTTACTATCTCTGCATTTCTGTGTCCAAAATTGTACCCTAGCTTTCTCTACTGTTATACGGTTCGCCGTTCCTTTTTTTTTTTTTTTGGGGAAGGTGGGGGTTGTGTGAGTTTCATGGGTTCTGATAGTTATCAGTTGATCATGTAGGGTAAAATTGAGGATGCAACTAGTGACAAACTTTTTTAAAAAAATATAGCTCGTGCTTTATATATAGATATATTGCAAATTGCCTGCCTTCTGAAGCAAGTCTTTCGGTTTATAGGTTGTTAATCAGGCAGAATTAATTTTGCCTTCATAGTAAAGATGTCAGAGTGATGGTTATCCATTTTTGTGTCATCACATGGCCATTTTAAGTCAAATTTACATCTATCTTAGATTAAAAGGACTGAAATGTTATGACCTTTGTAAAAACTGAAATATTAAGTAGCATTTATATCATATCACCATTTTCACATCTACTCAGGCAATCTACTACTGCTGCTTAGGTAAATGCTACATGATTAAGAGATTCTGAAAAGCCTCACAACCATTTTGGAAGTTCCAAATTTTAGAAGAGATGAAAATGGGCTAGTTCCAATAATATATTTGGAATGTATGTTATTTAAAGTTTCTGTCGATTCAGTGTTCATCTTGATTGTGTAGTAGTTAAACTACTTGTCAATGAGCACTGCAGATCCTCATCTGGATCTTGACCATATTATTGAGATATTCCTAGCCATTAAGTTTCTGATGGGCCCGCACTTTTGTTTAGGTACTTATCTCTAGGTAACCTGAGAGATGCTAATGGTCTCATGGATGAGGTGAAGAAGCAAATGCAGTCTAAGGAGCTTGACTTTCCACAATCAGAACTAATCCAGTTTATCAATTATCTTCTGTTGACGTATGTCTTTTCAACTATGCTTTTCATATTTCTGTAATGTCTGTGATGCTTTTAACTGTTCGGCTGAAAAGTTAACTTGGGAGGCACAATTGTCAGCTAGAAAATTCTCCCCACCCTGCCGCAAAATTGGGGAAAAATTAAAAAGAAGTCTGGGATATGGAACATTATAGAGTCTGATGATGCTGAGTCTTAAATAGCGTTAAGAAATATGATGTCCTTAGTTTTGTGCTTTTTTTTCATCACTTTCAATGTTATTCTTTGATTTTTTGTTTAATTTTATTTCCCACTTCTTCACATTTACAACTTAATTCCATGACTTCCAAAATGTGTACAGAGAAAAAGTTAAAGATCATAATACATTAAGTTTGTTTGTTGTTGCGTGCTTAACTATCTGCTTAACTAATATTCTCATCTTTGGGAGAGTGAATGCTCATCTTCAATTGCTTTTAAGTCTTGAATTTTACACAAATAGTGTGGCAATTCTTTTAACACGGGGAAACAAGTTGGGGGAAGGGGTAGTAATTGTAATTAAGAAGATATTACATCTGGAACTCAGCATAGCCAAATTCAAGTTTGGTGCAAAATGAAGAGTATTTACTATCACCTAAAAAAAGAATAAGGTGTGAAGGTTAATCATCATGTTCTTGGTTCCCCACTTTTTCCTGCCCGGTGGCTGCAGTTATTTTGGAAGTAAATTACATATGTAGACCATTTTTTGCCCCCACTACGGGGGTGGGGATGGCTGACTGGGCAGACTTGTACATGCTGGTTTCTAGGCTTGTGACAATTTGTGGTGATTGATGTTCTGAATTTCAGGCTGAACGTTTGTGTTCATGCTTCTACCCTGTCCTGTAACCAAAAAAAAAGAAAGAAACAAGATGTTCTTCTTCACTTCTGTTTCCTAGTTTTTTCCCCCTCTAAAAAGAATGTTATGTCCTTTTCTATTGCTTTTGTTGCTTCTTAAATTTATTCTCAACAAGGAACTCCAACTCATGGCTCACATTTTGTCTGATTATAGTATGTTGACCAATGGAAGAACTCAATTTCCTTCTTGTTTATACAAAGCTATCTTGCTTCTTGAACTTCATTTGGACAACTTCCTTTTATCATGAGTTTATTTTTCGTGGTGTCTTTTTGATTATTTGGTAAAAAAGGAACTTCTTGCAATGGGAGTGGGTACATAGAGGAGTTCTAAAGCTTCTAGGTTGGAGTCCACCAAAGAGTGGACCTTCTACATGTGGTCTAGAAGAATGCTAGTTGATCATCCACATGAAATTCCATTCTTATTAGGCGAATAAGGGTATTTTACCCAATCACTAAATTTGTAACCCATGTACCTATGAGTTTCATCCCTTTTTTTGTATTATATTTTTTAATTTTATTTGATTTATATTGCTTTATAATGATATTATTCAATTTGTAGCCTACTACAAGTCTACAAGTTCATAATGAGGATATACAGCTTGAACTGTAGTCTTCAATGGACTTGTATATATATATATATATATATATATATATATTTGTATGTATATTATATTCTATGTATTATTTGTATACACCAAAGAGTGGACCTTCTACATGTGATCTAGAAGAATGCTAGTTGATCATCCACATGAAATTCCATTCTTATTGGGCAAACAAGGGTATTTTACCCAATCACTAATTTGTAACCCAAGTACCTACGAGTTTCATCCATTTTTTTGTATTATATTTTTGAATTTTATTTGATTTATATTGCTTTATAATGATATTGAGCGTCAATTTGTAGCCTACTACAACTTTATAATGAGGATATACAGCTTGAACTGTAGTCTTCAGGACACATAATGTAGGACACATAACCCTCCTATGGATTCAAAACCTATACACTAGCCTCCATTTTTGGACTTAAGTGGAAAGGTAACTTTTTTGCTGCTACAATTAACTACAAAAGGGTAGATTTCGTATTTGATTAATTTGATTGGTAGAATTTGTTTTGTGTGTTTCCTCCTAGGTCAAACTGTCAGTTTACTTGAATATAGTGGTCAAAGTGAGAATTCTAAAAACTTCTCTTTCCACACAATGAGCACCTCCTCGACCATCCCACCACCGCCATTGCCTTCTCCTGCAAGCACCTTTGCTCCCAAATCCAGTGGCGGAGCCAAGACCCTAGGGTGAGGGGGGTCAATCTCCGATGACACGTGAAATGAAAAAATAGTATGTTTATAACCAATGGACATTTATGTGAAACACAACTTCTCTGTTCTAAGTTTAATACGCTTTGAAGTTTATAATGTACTATCTTTCTAAGTTTAGTACGTTTTGAAGTTATATTGTGGTTAAATTTAGAATTGGAAATCATTTTTTCTATTTACATTTAGAAACTTTGAAAGAATTTATTCTTGAAATAACCTCCACAATTAACTTTAAGTAGATCTAAATATCTAGTGAATGGTAACAATTATGAATTTTTTATTTTTTGGGGGTCAATGTAGATAGAAAAGATAATTTGTTAAATTTTAGTGGGGGCAAATAAGAAGCTAACTTTAATTTTTTCTGAATTTTCCTAACCGTAATAACTCATTTTCTCACAATTAAGTGGGGCAATTGCCCCCACTTAGTTACATGTGGCTCTACCCGTGCCCAAATTGGCAATATGAGCTTTTGAAACCATACGAGGGCTGCTAATGTAGAGCTTTGAAACTACAGGAGGGTTGTTAACGTATAACTGTTAAACCAAATGCGGGTTAGGTGTCGTGAGGATAAACCACGGGCTTAACTGCAATTTAAGCAATTGCTTATGAAGTCTTGAGGACAATCGTCTCTCTAGCTGAAGAATCAATAGGTGTAACTTGCCAGCTCTTCTTTTTGACCAAATCTATTTTATTTTGTTTGTGTCGGAATCAAGGGATTAAATTGATTAAACATTCTTTTCAAATTTTGGTGCAGGTTGCAGAGAGACGCTTTGCCTTTGTTTAACATGTTAAGACAGAATTACAAGTCTAGCATAGAAAGGGAACCTGTATTCCATGAGGTATGAAGCTTTCTTTCATACTTAATCTTCTGTAGCAAAAGTTATCAGACTATTTTTGCTAGTGCACACGACCTCTAATTTTTGCTGCTAATTTTCTAGCAATTCAGCATGTTGGTGTCTATTTCTTGCAAGAACTTATTTGATACTTATATTGCTAGTTGCTAGATGAAATAGCTGAGAAGTTCTATGGAGTACGACGTAGGAATCCCTTGCAAGGGATGTTTGGAGATATTTTTAAGGTAATTGTTTTCTATGCATCTCTTAATAACTTTAAGATGAGCCTTGATTTGCCATGACTTATGCTTGCTTCATTATCATGCGGATGTTGTTAGTTTGAAACATGTCCATACATGGTGACACCTCCTGCAATGGTGCCAGTCTAGTGTCCCTTTTGTTGTTTTGAGAATCCCAGTGAGGGTCTTTCATTTTCAAGGTAAAGATACTGCTTCCAATATGAAGTCAGTGACAAACAACATCTGTATATTGTTTGTATATTCTCTTCATATTCTGGTGTGATGATCAATTTGTTTCTCTGTTTTTGCTTTTTGAGAAATGAGGTTGTTAGCTAGGAAAGATACCTGATAGTTGAATGTCTGTCTTTGCCTTTAAATTTTTGTTTTGAAATTTTTAGCATACCTTACTCTACAGATGATGGGAGGTGAATAGCATCTTATCAGCCGTTGAAGCGACTCTAAAGCCAAAGAGAAGGTACATGGCGCTAACGCTAAGTGTCTGCTATCCGTGAAAATGATTGCTGTTGGATTATATTGTTAAGCCGACTGTTGTAATATATATAGTTCCTTTTTTCTTTTGCCATATGAATTGCATTTTGTTCATTCTGGAGGCAGTCACCTTTCCTGTCCAAATGGTTTAATTGAATGCTAAGCCGAATTTTTCAATCGAGGATTACTCATTTCAGTGATTAATCTGGGGAATACACTGCATGGCACCTTTCGCACTTCAAGCGACTAATTATACTCATTTTTCTCAATTCTTCCAAGATGATAATACTCATTATTTTGAAAGTCAGTCAAGTGACTTTTATGTGGTTTTGCATTTCGATCATCTGTGGTTTTTGGCACACTTTTATGTGGGGGTTCGTTTTGCGTGTGTGCGTGCATAATTTTAAGGTATTTTTTGCTGTTTTAGAGGAGAGTCTGGGGTTGTTACTGAAAACATGCCAAAAGCTTGGAGATAATCAGTCTACATAGAACTGAAATTAGGAGATAGATGCAAAAATTGAAGCAAAAGCCAATGTGGCAACAGTTTGTGTAAAGCGAAGCAAAAACTATCCCATGTTATAAAGTGAATAAATGCAACTAATCTTAAGGGTTAATCACATTTAATCGCACCAAAGTATATCTCGTTTCTCACTCTAGTCTGTAGCTTTTTTTTTTGGTCTCATTTTATCTCCTATTGAACAAAATTAACTCTAATCTTAATGGTACCATTTAAGTCACAATGCTCCTAAATTTTTACCGCCAGCAGAACATAATAAAAACAATCCGAAGGTCAAGTCAGCAAGCCAGATAACATTCTCAGCTATTTGCCAAAGTGTCAACAAAAGATAGATAAAAGACAAAAGAATGACCATATATCAGTGATGTAAACTACGACAGGTCAAACATAGACAAGGCCCATTACCAGTTATCAGCTTATTGCCTTTTCTTCCTGCAATATCTCAATAAAAACCAGCAGTAGATACTGCACAGAAATTTAGGTCCTAAGACAGCAGTAGATAGTGGGGCACACTAGAAGGGCAAGTTATGAGATCAAAGAATCCTGTGACCTTGACGAGCTTCCAACTTCCTGTTATGATATTCTAGCATTCTTTAGAGATCTGCAGACCACAACACCATCAGTTGTTCGCATGGTGTGCATACCAAGTGCAGCAATACAGGAGTCATCCGTCCCCAGATGAGGCTGAACCTGTTCCCAGATCTTTTTCTTCTGAATCTGCAAATTATTGGAAAGAAGCACAACAAGCCGAGCAGAAAATTAACAATGCATAGATTCAGTGTCTTTGTACTTTGCACTGAAGACAACAAAGAGAGAGCTCGCAGATATGCATTGGCACCAAATTCTTGCACAATGACCTTTGGTACCTTTAATTCAGTCATAGAACTAATTCAGTATTAAAAGTCAGAGAGCTTTAACCTGCAATGCGACCCGACAGCCTCAGTACCAAATCAACAATCACTTTTCTGTCATTCCATTAACAAGCCCACAAGCTGAGAAAAACAGCTCTTCCTCCAATCATCCTCTTTGGATCATTAGTTGCATCAATAGTTTAGTCAAATCAAACAAAAGCACGTTAAGCTAAAACTATGTCACACTCCATTCACTCACAGACGTTTGACTGACATGGGTGCATTCAAGATACCTTAATCAAGAATTCAAGTAAAACTTTTAAATTAACCGAAGAGAAAAACATTTGGAAAAAGGTGTCCCCCTAAATTAACCGAAGAGAAAGGACTTGACAGTGAAACATTAAAAAGTGCCAAAAGTAAATGTTTTTAGGAGTTCAGTGGAAAAATTGGAACTAAAAATAGTCCAGTAGCCAAAATTACACCAAAGGAATAGTTTAATGGCTGCTTTAATTCCCTGAACCACATGACTATTGACCTTCAAATCCTCAATACTTCTAGTAATACCCTAGCTATTCACAAGTAAAATGCATTCTAGAACTGCCAAAACATTTATTGAGCGAGTCTACTAGCTGCTCATCTTTTAACATATAATCTGCAGATGTAGTGAGAATCTATCTTAATGTGCTTTGTCTATGTATAAAGTCCACCAAATGTGATTTCTTTCAACTTATGTTGTTCTCCATGTGGCAAACGACATAGTAATAATAGTGACCACACACACTCCATCAAACCAAAAATTTAGACCAGTTCTATCTCAAGAAAATGCACCTTTCATAATAAGCTTTACATTCTGTCTCTCACCAACAGATAATCAATCAGTTACACAAGTTTTCCTAACAAGAACCATTCTCCAAACAAAACAGTGAGAAAGGTAAAAGGTAGCCTGTAGCTGTTAGTCGAATAAGGAGACTTAAAGATACAACAAATAGGGACTAGCCTCTGCACAGCGCCCGGCAGGTATTTTTGTGCAGGCAGAACGTAAACCCTAATTAACGATTAAGCTCAGATCACCATACACTTTGTCGTGCCAAGACCTGGCCATTAATAGTCATTGCCTCTTGATACCACCTCTTTGCAAGTAGGACGGAGTAAAATGGTATGTTCAAACTGAGATACATAGCTGCCTTTGATGTCACATACAGGAGGGCAAGGCTGAAAAGCATACAACAAGCTTCTGTTAATATATATAGCTAGAATCTAAAATCAAGAGAAGAGAGAAATTTATCAAACCGAGTTCTATACCCCTATTATGAACTTAGCTAGTTCACAAGTAATTCCCAGTATTCCATTCTATGACATTAGGTAATATTTCTGCTTTCTTCCATTTCTGCCGACACATATCTTCAAATCTTTCTAGATTTTTATATTTTGCATCTTCCAGTCATCTTAACATACTCAGCAAGATATAGGAAGATCCTCTCACCATTTGGACATGATGTATAATGGCATCTATCTAAACACCCCAGAAGGTCTCGCATCCACAAAATCACATGCTCCCCCCACATCTTAAAATCTTTCTTCTATTAATGTCAAAATTGAAACCTCCATTTCATCACCATTTCTTCAAAGTTCATTACCTCACTGACAATAAATTAACGTGAAATACCTGAACAATTCCAGAATCACATAGATTCTTTAGTGCCATCAAATATTTTGTCTCCCCAAGGCGATCTAAATAACGTCTACAGAAAGCCAATGTAGAGAAGTTCTTATTAATTGTTGCCAGAAGCTGTTTTGCTCTGGGTAATCGCAATGGTATATGGCCAACATCAAAATTCTTCATGTAATGGCTGCACTCTAGATCTTCTCTGACATACCCCTTTCCTGTACAAAACAAATGACAGGAAAATGAATCCGCATATAGATTCAAGTTCCATCAAGCACGGTACCCAGCCAAAAAATGTAGAAACCATCACCTGTTGATCCAAAGGTCTCAATTGCATAAAACTCGCCCTCTTCCATTTTTGTTTGTTCTCCTCCTTTCACATTTGGAACAGATTTTCCAGCATGGATTTGATAACTTCCAATACCGTGCCCATTCAAATTTCGGATACTCTTAACTGACAGAGAGCAAACCCAAAAACATTAAATATCATTCATTATGTGAAATTTTATCATAAGATGACTACAGACTATAAGTATATGACTTTCTTTCTGTCATTTTCCTGTTAGGATTCCATATCCAGAAACTTATACAAAAATGAAAGAACAACCAAAATTTTTTTTTTCTTTCATGGTGCTTGTGGCACGACACAAAGTACAGCTTAAGAACAGAATCCAGCAACCAGTCATGACTTGAAACTCAAAAATCATAATGCTTTTTGACTAGTTACGAAAATCCGTGTTTCCGTGAATTTTAACTTTGCAATCTTCCCTGAGATAGAGATAAAGAAAATTATCTTTCACTGTTTGTATACAGTGCTCTAAACCAAAGGAATCCCTGAAATCTGCTCAAATCAAGAAAGGACACAAGATGATACATATTAGCCTCATGTTTAGGTTAAACGCTGAGGATGACCAGAAGACAAAATATATTGCAAGCAATAATATTCAATCTATGCCTGTAAAGCCATAAAATATCATTAAATCAAGCCCAGTTTTATTGGCCAGATTTCTTTTTGGACTCTGCCAAAATTTGGCCGCCCCTATCAGTACTCAAAAGCCATTTACTGCAATAATTTTTCTCATCCCCCAAAAATTTACCCTTCTTGAAAATCCTTTACCCAAAGGCCTTTCTATTACCAATGCGTTCAATGAAGCATGTAATTTTGGAGTGTTTTGCCAATTGTCATTGATTGTACAACAAATGCACTCATCTCAAACAACGTTCAGCCAATCAAAATGTGACTTAGAGAGTGAAAGGAAAGATATTAGGCAATGTTTCTATACCAAAAGTACAATCCCAACAAGTAAAATCATATGGTTCTCGGTGTAATAATTATTAAGATTGTAAAACTTTTAAAGAAGAATTGGCCTCCAATTAGTAAAAGTATCACCAAAAAAATAAAAAAAGGTTTCACATTATCAGCCATTATTCTAACCTCAAAGCATCTGACTGATGTAAAGTAAAAGCTACATTCATTTCAGTTTCAATTACCTTGGTATACTTTGCCGTTAATTTCAATCTCATATGATTCCATGACCTCTTGGATTGCAGCACCAACATCACAAAGGCGGACATCAATTCCAGCTTCCTGAAAATGAAACAAAGTATAAAATACTGTGAAGATATGAGTTGGTTTTAACAGAATGCATTGTGAAAATCATTTGTTATATAACTTGGACGACAAGTTTACATCTCATTAAATTTCACTTATTAACCAGCAGGTTTCAAATTTTCCCTTTAATGAACTTAATTCCAGTTATCCAACACAAATACACCCACCTTGATTCCTGTATTTGTGGCTTCACGTGAGGCTTCAAGGAGAGGGTCGAACATAGGATTAAATGCCACAGTAAATGCAGAGTCTACTATATGTCCTGCAAGTACAAACATGCCAGAATTAAACACCAACAGTGGAATGATGCTAAGCAAACAAAAACAAGTAAAACCAATGAGGCAGTACAAAGCATGCCCAGAGACCACTGGACGTAAGATTTGAAAATAGCACCATCTATATGAGTTCCAAAATCCAGTTTCATGACATCATCATACTGAAGCACAGTTTTATCTCCAGAATTTGGGGTCCAGTGGGCTGCAACCCTGTAAGAAGAAACAGGTTAGAAGCAGAAAGAACTTAACCAGAGAGGAAAAAGAACTCGGTTTGAAAAAGAGAAAAGAAGAAAGAAAT